TTAGCATATAGGACAATCCCCTCGCACTCCCTTCATGGAGTCAACTTCTCCCTTGGACCTAACTCCTGGTAAACACTGATCTCTTCTCTGTTGCTATAGTTTTGCCTTTTCTGGAATGTCATACAAATGTCATATAAATGGAATCCTACAGTATTTGACCTTTTAAGATTGGCTTTCTTCACTCAACATAATGCCTTTGAGATCCATCTGTGTTGTTGCAGGTGTCAGTAATTTGTTCCTTTTTTATAGCTGAGAAAATTATTCTATCACACAGATGTTGTACCATTGTCCTATAGTTTGTCCATTCATTCACTGGAAGAATATGGGTTGATTCCAGTTTGGGGAGATTATGAATAGAGCTGATATGTGTATTTGTGTACAGGTATTTGTGTGAACATACATTTTCATTTCTCTGGGATAAGTACCCTATGAGTGGGATTGTAGGGTCATATGGTACATGTGTGTTTAACTTAGAAGAAACTACCAAACTGTTTTATAGAGTAGCTTTACTATTTTGTGTTCCCACTAGTGAAGATTTAAATTGTAGTTGCTTTGCTTCCCTGTCAGCACTTAGTATTGTCAAGTTTTCTGTCCTTCTGCCCCCCCGATATTCTGTGGAATTTCATTGTGGTTTTAATTTGCATTTCACTAATGGTTAAAGATGTTAACTATCTTTCATGTGCTTATTGGTCATCTGCATATCTACTTTGGTAAAATGTGTGTTAGAGTCTTGCTCATTTTAAAAAATTGGATTGTTCATTCCCTGCTGTTTAATTTTGAGAGTTCTTTACATATTCTGGATACAAGTCTTTTGTTACATTTGCAAATATTTTTTCCTGGTCTTTCTTTTAAATATCTTTCACACAGCAAAAATCTTAAATTTTAATGAAATCAAATTTATTATTTTTTTCCTATATGGGTTGTGCAAGTAGTTTCATATTGAAGAACTCTTTGACTAACTCCAAGTTACAAAGATTTTCTCCTGTTTCCTTCAAAAATTTGTATAGTTTTATAGTTTTACACTTAGACCTATGATTGATTTTGAATTAATTTTGTGTGAAGTCTGATGGTTTTTACATGTAGACATCCAAGTGTCCGAAAACCATTTGTTGAAAAGACAGTATTTTCTCCACTTAATTACCTTTCCACCTTTGTCAAAAACCAAGTGGACATATTTATGTGGGTCTATTTCTGGACTGTTCTGTTCCATTGATCTACCTACCTCTTACAGCAGTGTCTTGGTTATGATAGCTTTTTGATAAGCATTAAAATAAGGTAGTATGGGTCCTTCAAATTTATTCTTTTAAAAAATTGTTTTAACTATTTTAATTTCTTTGTCTTTTCATATAAATTTTAGAATCAGTTCTCTAGAGCTACAGAAATTCCCAATGAAAATTTTTTTCAAAGATTTTATTTATTTGACAGAGAGAGAGACAGTGAGAGAGGGAACACAAGGAGGGGGAATGGGAGAGGGAGAAGCAGACTTCCCGCTGAGCAGGGAGCCCAACGTGGGTCTCAGTCACGACCTGAGCTGAAGGCAGACGCTTAACAACTGAGCCACCCGGGCGTCCCCCCAATGAAATTTTTATTATAATTGCATTAGATTATAGATCCCGTTCATGATAAAATACGTACAACACATTTTAAAATTATAAAAGTATGATGGTGTAATGAGCACCCATGAACCAACCAGTCAATAAGAGAAGTAGAACATTAAAACTTGTATCTACCTCTATGGTTCTTCTCTTATACCCATAAGTACTTTTTTCTTTGATGCAGTTAATAACTCAAGGACAGGTATTCCAATTTGTTGAATTATTGGATCTTTGGATCACCTTTCACTCATGATTTTGCTATTAGAATTTTACTCCTTATGGTTGCCTAATCTAAAAAAATGTTGAGAGTAGAAGAGGCAGTAAACCTCATACTACTTTTTAGTAGCTACATTGAACTAATATTAAGTTAAAGATTAGGTTTAAGGAGGTTTGCATTTTAATCTTAAGTGAAATATGGAACTGAAATAATTAATTTATTCAATCATTTATTATTTCTGAAGTTCCATAGGAACATACCAGTACCTTTTTTGTGTTATATGGAAATAAGTAAATATGTCCTATAATTCTCTACAGTTCATTACATTTATTTATATACATATGCTATTTTACTTATTTATTTTTCCCCAGTTTTAGTGAAATCAATTGTCATATAACATTTCATTAGTGTAAAGTGTACAAGATAATGATTTGATTATGTATATATTGCAAAATGATCACCATAGGAAGTTTAATTAACTTCCATCCCCTCACATAGTTACAAAATCTTCTTCTTGGGATGAGAACTTTTAAGATCTACTCTCTTAGCAACTTTCAAATATACAGTGCAGTATGTTAACTATAATCACCAGGCTGCACATTACATTCCCAGAATTTATCTTGTAACTGGAAGTTTGTATCTTTTGACCATGGGTGAGGACCTATTCACCCTGAACCTCCCTGGCAACTACCAATCTGTTCTTCACTTAAAAGATTTAGAGTGAGATATGTCTTTGTACTGCCACAGTACTCGACACCATGTCTGTCACTCAGGTAATTTTGAATGAGTAAGTGAAATGTATTTTTAGGTCTATCAATACTATCTCAAATTTCAGATGAATTGTTTTACCATTTCTTTGAGATTATATTATGTTGCTTTTTAATGAGGACTAAGGACATAAGTAAAGCTCATGAAAATTAGTCTGGAGAAATGGAGCAATAGATATTTCTAGTCCAACCAATTGTGTTAACACCACCTAAGTCTCTCAATAGTCAGTCGGGATTTTTCCCTTTCACTTCCAGTGTATGTACATTTGAATGCTTCCAAGCAACCTTGGGCAGGGTGGTGAGGGGGTGGGGGGTGGGCAGGTAAAGGATTAGTGAAAGTGTAGAATGTTAGGTTGTGAAAACACTCTATACCCCAGTGGGGTATTCAATAAGTGCCTGGTCATAGGAAACCTACATCACAGAATATATTTCTATTTTAAGGGAACTTTATTTGGTGAGAAACCTACTCATGAGTTAATGTAGGATGAAGATATTCAATGCAAAACTTGTATCAGGTTGGCTATCAAGTATTAGAGTAGTTAGAATTAATTCCTTTTTAAGTATTTACCAGTATAAAATACCAATGTGTCTAGTGTTAATGTCATTCATTATCATGGCATATGAAAGGTTTAGATGTGTAATTGTGTATTTATGTGTAATACTAAAATTTAATATTTATAATGTACTTAATTCATTCAAAAACACTGAGTACCCAAGCCCTATTCTGGACTCTGAGAATACAGCAATGAAATATCTAGGTCATGTTCTAAATTTATAATTAAATGATGTATGTAATAAATTTTTGTTTGAATTTATCTAAACATTATTTCTCTTATAGGGAAAATTCTCCATTTATTAAAATTGTATTATAAATGTATTGAATTTATTTTGATTTTAATTAAGATATAACTTAGATTTCTTAGCAATAAACTAAATTGATATATAATTGTTTTAGCAATAGTAATAATTTACAATATATATATTTGAAATCTATTTTGCTTTCATGACAAGATAATATTTTCATTCATATAATATAATGTAAGCCCTAATATTTTATCACAGTCTTGCTCAAGATTCATGAGGCTTAGGCTGTGGGATATAGTGATGTGATCTAAGATTATCACTCTGAATCTATGTGTATTTGAACTTTGGCAATAGGCTTAATTAGCATTAATTAATTCTATTTTTCAATGTGTAATTCTGTACTGCAAGATCATATAAATGTGCCAGAATTTTACCCATTTTAGTCACACATTTCCTCAATTAACAGACATTTAAGGTTTAATTTTTAACAGAGATAGTCTGAAGAATTTTGACATGAAAATGTGTTCTTGTGTCTTGAAGAGAATTAGATCATAAAGCCACTAGGGGGCTCACACACTGTGTGTAAATCATGTGGCATTGCACATCCCATATACACTTCTGGGTACTTTAAAAAGAACATAATAGCTGGGACAATAATAATACATTCCGTAGTTTTGTGTGTGGAGTTAAGAAGTAATATTTTTATGGCAACAGAGAAGGGCACATTGACAGGAGATTCTAGAAAATACATTAAACAGGGGAATTATTATCAGGGAAGTTAGCAAGAAGGGGTCAAAAATAGAAATTGGAGAAATGTTAAGTCTGGTATTAGTCCCTATGAACATCCCTTCTGTTAAGATTTGCCTATTGCTCCAAGAACACTAACTCTAGCTGTCAAGTCTTAGAGTCCTAGGGTTGGACAGAGTTACTTTTGCACAAATCACATTATATGGTATTGATTCAGATACCTCATATTGAGAAGACGTTATTTGTAATCAATTTTTTTTATTTGCAATCAATTTTTTAAAAAAAATGTTAGCTGGTCCATTTCCTTTAGAGTGAAGTTGTATCCGTATTCTTTCATTTTGGGCACCTGAGTGGCTCAGTCACCTAAGCATCCGACTCTTGATTTTGGCACAGGTCCTGATCTCAGGGTCAGGAGATTGAGCCCTTCCTCTCTCTCTGCACTGGGCGTGGAGCCTGCTTAAGATTCTCTCACCCTCTCCCTGTGCCCCTCCTCTGTGCCCACTCTCTTTCCCTCTCTCAAAAAAAATATTTTTTCATTTTTTTTTAAAGATTTTATTTATTTATTTGAGAGAGAGAGAATGAGAGATAGAGAGCACGAGAGGGAAGAGGGTCAGAGGGAGAAGCAGACTCCCTGCTGAGCAGGGAGCCCGATGTGGGACTCGATCCCGGGACTCCAGGATCATGACCTGAGCCGAAGGCAGTCGCTTAACCAACTGAGCCACCCAGGCGCCCTATTTTTTCATTTTTTTAAAGGAAGACCCTTGAAAAGCAATTTGAGGGCTTTCTTATATAATTCAAATTCAGATGTTTCTTTCAAGCATTTTTAAATATTTTATGAATTTCATCTATTTTGTTTTGTTTACAATCTAGGGACAGTTCAGCATTAACTTGGCAGGAACTGGAATGAAGATATCCAGCACAGCAAAGTGGCTGGCTCAGGGGAGTTATGCCTCTGTCATCATACACAGGTCACAAGTAAGTCCTGCTGGACCAAAATGCTTGTTTGAAATACTTCTGTGCTGTGAACTAGAATTAAAGGTCCTTTACCTTAACTTTAGAGTTATAAAGTTAATGACTAATGAGTTATTGCATAGATGAGGCATATTACATATAATGGGGCATAATATTAATCTATGATATAATGAAACTGGGTTAATTTTTATAATATACGTAGGTGGTCTTATATGCATATAAATTCATGTATACGCTACCGATATCTGAACCTGAAATATCAAATGCCAGGGCATATAGATTCTATCTAGCACAAGTTTGGGGCTAATGACTTGAAGCTCATGTACTTCAAAAAGAGATGGTACTGTTAGCTATATTTTAATTATTAAAGAGTTGTTGGTTTTAATATTTCAAAGTGAGGAGGAGGTGTTTGGTTTATTTACCTCACTGCTTGGATTTAGTGATGGGATGGCCATTTTTCATTTAGCATATACTCTTTATAGTTTCTGTAAGAATTAGGACTATTTTTATGGTTGTGTGCATATTTTCCTCTGCCTTTATGCAGATAAGATGGTACTTGGCTTTTACAGGTAGGACACATCTAATTTTGCATAGTGTCCTGGCACATACACTTGACGAGATGGCTCCTGTTACTGACAGTGACCGTGTCTCGGATAGCTTGACTCCCTCTAGTGTAAATCAGGATCTATTTTCTAAGTGTTCTCTCACCTATGTTGCTCCTCAATCAGCACCATCAACAGCCCCTGCCCATTCTGTTTTATGGTTTTTCTTTCTTTGGATAAAAGTGACTTTTTTTATACTTGTGTCAATATTATTTGTAATGAAATTCAATTTTCTAATATTCATAGACTAAAACATTCTATTTCTGAAGACTACAAAACCGAGTTTTAATTAACGAAGAATTTAAATTTTGTATTATTTCTGTCGTTTGGGTAAGAAGTCAGCTTTTAGGACAAACAGCTATTTTTAAATTTTTATTTGGCATATTTAGGTCTAATCCCTTTTGGTAGAAGAATGGGAATAAATTAACTAAAGTATATTCTGAGCAGGTCTCAGTATAAAAGAGCTCAATGAAATATTTTGACCTTACTTATCCAGCTTTTAGATATCTTTTCGTTAATTATAAAGAGGTCACCAGTAGATATGAATATTCAGTATAATCATTCCTTTTTCTTCTATTTAAGTTCCATTCTAAAGATTAATTAATTATTTAATCTACTGAGAATCTCTAGCTTGATCCAAAAATATTGCACATGAAAATATTTCCTGAAACCTGTGGCCTGGTATGAAGCGGAGACTGGTGGAACCCACGTTTACATATGGAAATGCAAACTTCTTTTCATTTCCCAGGACATTTAATCAAGATTAGGTTTTTACTTAAACAATCTGGGAATAGAAATGTACATAAATGGGAATTTTTACTGCCATTCCTTTCTTCTCTGATTACTTAGATTCTTGAGAGCTAAGAAAAATTTTGAAAGGAAAGGCAACTTCAAAAGCCGCTGATCTCAGAACAGTCTTTATCCCAAAATGTTCTAGGAACTCAGTTTCCTTGTCTGCCCTCCCTCTTTAGATCAAAAACAAAACAAACCCCCAAAACAAAAAAAAAACCTCACTTTCTCCAGAAACTCATATAGGAGCTCAAACTGTTTTTGCCTCATCCTATCAAACTGTCCTCAGTCCTTTGACTTTTGGACCAAGGATGGAAAGGAGTCTAGAGAGAACATCTGTCCCACCCCTTTCACCAACCTCTGTCAACCTATTCCTCAATGAACAGCTCTGATTTTCTTAAACAAACAAACAAACAAAAATCTCCCTACTTAGTTCTTTTCTTTTTTTTATTTAAAAAAGTTTTTTTAATTATGTTATGTTAATCACCATACATCACGTCATTAGTTTTTGATGTAGTGTTCCATGATTCATTGTTTGCGTATAACACCCAGTGCTCCATTCAGTACGTGCCCTCTTTAATACTTGACCTTAACTGTATACAAGTCATATTCTCCCCCATTAACCTCAAACATCTCATGGAAGCCTTAGAAACACAGCTTGAAGTATAGAATTTGTGATAAAATGGGGGGAGAAAACTGGACTGAAAGCAGCAATTATAAGTTTGTATATTTCTTATTTAGCCTGTGAGAATCTTATATAACATCATGTAAATATAGGACAGCAAATTGGGAGAGGTTTTAACAACCTCACTGAAGCAAATAGACACCTTGATGAAAAATATGTGGATTGAGATGAATTGTCTAAATTATAATGTGGTTTATAATCATCAAGTAGCTAATCTGAATCTCAGATTATCTGATTCCCATGACCACCAATTTCAACTAATCCTGAAACGGTATGATCTTTAACCTCAAAGGTAATTGTTATAGGAAACTTTGGCTGATTTCAGCTGCATGATTCAAAGCATTTGCTTTTTCTGCCTATGTACGGTGATACCAGCTTGTGCCCGATTCTCCTATATTTCTGCCTCTTCCTATTTTCAGGATGGAATCAAAGTCCACGGCAGATGTGGAGGGTTCTGTGGAAAGTGTGTTCCTCACATGACTACTGGTCTCCCAATTCAAGTAGTATGAACGTTCAGAAGTGGGAAGGATGAGGAGATATTCTCTGGCATATCTGCAGATAACCGGTGCTCGTTTCTTTACTCTTCCCTTCCTGAGATTTCCATGTCCAAAATGTCTGTGCTTTTTTTTTCTTTCAGGGTGCTCATCAGGGAATCAAATCACTGCTTAATATTTCCAAAGACTTCAAAATAAACTTAACAGATAATGTGACTCTAATTAGGAACTTTTTAAAAGGACAGAATAATTTATGGTATAATATACAGAGATATTTGAATGAATTATACCAAGATAATGTTGCTGTTAACAAACAGCTTGGACTGGATCACAGTTATATTATGCCTATAAACACACATATAAATCTCTACTCAGTATTGTACTGTACAGTGAATGTTTATTCTACTTGTTAAAATGGAGCAAGTAAAAATTAGGAAAATGAATTTATTTAAAATACCTATAAACATTATTGAATCTGTCAGATAAATAGCAAATCCATAGTCACATCAAAAAAGTACATAGCCATTATACTTTTTACTGATACAGCTTAGATACCTTGTTTTATATTTCCTTAAATTTTAAATTGTGGGTCATGGTGCTTCAAATAAAAAAAATCATCCTAAAAATGCAGTACACTTTTATATTAAAAATATTATGCTTGGGTTAAATACTAAATATGAAAATTTGTGGAGATAAAACAGAAGAAGATATGATATAATAGAATTTTCCTTAAAACACCTACCTCTAATTTGTACTTATAAGAGCAATACATTGTTTTTATAATGTTTATATTCTGTCTCTATAACTCATATATGTATATATTTACTCTTAAAAAATCTATTTTCTCAAAGTTATGTACTGTATTTTATTAATCAAGTAAAGAAATTAGAATTATTGAAATTTTGGAAATCTTATTTTGGTAGACAAAATTATGTTTATATAAGCAAAATTTTTATTAGAGATGTTCAAGTTATTTTATATCTGAGGTTTCTCAAAGCCAAAACATAAAAGATAGTATAAAAATTAACTATTCATGGGCAAATTCTCAGGTTGTAAGAGATTTTTTTCAGGTGAATAATTTGTGTATTATATAACAATATGATCTTTAAAAGAATCATAGACAATATTTTTCTAAGGCAACTTACTTTGTAAACCAAAAAATGAATCTACTAATAGATTTTTGCCAGTAAATAGTAGTATACTAGTTTTATCCACAAAGTTTTTTTCCGATTTATTATTATTTATTTTTCCCCAAACATTTTTTCCCCAAACATATATTGTACCATATAAGGTACTAAAGCAGTTTTGTGCCAATGTGGTTAGATAAACATTTAGGGATCTCTGTATCAGAAATGAAGTATTTTGCACTATGTGCCTTAAACCAGTTACAACCATTAATACAATATGTGTAACATTTTCTAGAAACGTTTTCATTCATAAAATCTTATAGCTTATAAACATTTAAATAATAAACATATTTGTGTGATACATTAGCATTTTGTTTTCATTTTCCTTACATGTAAAAACAAAGAATCCTTTACCAAAAAATTCTATAACCCTAAAACCACTCCAAAAATTCAAATAACTTTTTATTCAAATTGTTGCAGTTGGAATGGAAATGGCTCATGTCTGCTGTACACCCTTCTCATGGCAGAGGGGATATGGGCAGGAGGCTGACAAAAACTTGCAATGCTTTTAAAAGCTTCTGTTTATATAAGGAATGCTCATGTCATTGAATATATACTCATATTCAATTGGCCAAATGAAATCATATAACCAAATCCTAGTCATTGGGTCAGGGAACTATATTCTTCCTACAGGCAAGGATTGCCAGGCATGGGGAACTGGGTGAGGACTTAGAATTCTCTCCTAAGGGGAGGGAGCATATTCTTGTAAACAATAATATGTTTTACCCATCCATCTTCAACTTCGCTAGAAATTGTCAAAGTACTATCCAAAGCAGTTAAATCAATTTAAATTACTGCTGGTAAGGTGTAAAAATTTTAGAGTATCCAAATCCTCAAGGGTACATGAATTTTTTAAAAATCTGCTGCTGGGGTATAGCATAGTATTGCATTATTTGAATATTTATATTTATCTGATTACTAGATTGGATGAGGATTCTTATATATATATTTTGCTATTAGGTTTCTTTTTCTGAGAATTGCTTGATCATTTTTTATTCTCTTTGCCTCTCTGCTCCCCCACCTTTCCCATACCCCATCCCACTCCTCACTTCATTAAAAAAAAAAAAAAGAAACAAACATGAGGGAGTAAAGCATTTTATGTGAATGTGATTTTAAAACATTTGAGAATCTCTTATCAAAAAGCATACTTTTGATTCTACCTAAAATTAATTGCAAATATTAATATGCAGTACATAGTAATTTTCTATATCTGTTTATCATTTAAGATGAAGCATTCTCTACATGTATTTTATCTACTTTTCCCACTCTTTAAGGAGCAGGATTTCTCTGCTCATGTTGAGGTCCAGTTCCCCAACCTCTGCTCTTGATTTCTTCTCACCCTGAATTCTCCAGAACCTTTCCCCAGAGATTATTCTCTCTCCCTCCTTTTCCTTCCTCTCCCCACTGGCTCCTTCTCTTCATCCAAAGCACAACATGTTCAATTCTCTCCATTTTATTTTACTTTTTACTATTTTTTAAAAATTTTATTGAAGTACAGTTGACTTACAACGTTTATTAGTTTTAGGTACACACCATAGAGATCCCACAATTCCAAACATTACACAGTGCTAGCCATGATAAATGTAGTCACCACCTGTCACCATATAATCTTATTACAGTATTATTGACTGTATTTCCTAAACTATACTTTTCACCCTGTGACTTGTTTATTTTATAACTAGGAGTTATAAAGTATATTTCACTCATTCCCCCATCTCCCTCCCCTCTGTGGGCCACTAGTTTATTCTCTGTATTTATGAGTCTGTTTCTGTTTGTTTGTTTGTTCTGTTTCTTAGATTCCACATATAAGTGAAATCATATACTATTTGTCTTTGTCTGAATTATGTCACTTAGCATGATACACTAGGTCCTCTTCTATTTTAAAACAAAAATATGTTTCCCCCCTCACCCATCACTACTCACTGTTTTTCCTCTTATTTTCTGAGAGAAACTGCTGTTCGCATCTTCACCTTTTATTCAAGCATTGGTCCATTATAACATGACTTCCAACCCTCAATATTTTATTGATACTACTTTCACTAAAATCACAATGAACTCCTAATTGCCAAGCACAATTACACATTCTTTTTTTTAAAGATTTTATTTATTTATTTGACAGAGAGAGACACAGCCAGAGAGGGAACACAAGCAGGGGGAGTGAGAGAGGGAGAAGCAGGCTTCCCGCTAAGCAGGGAGCCCGATGCAGGACTCAATCCCAGGACCCTGGGATCATGACCTGAGCTGAAGGCGGACGCTTTTCTGACTGAGCCTCCCAGGTGTCCCCAATTACATATTCTGAGTTGTTGGTTTTTTCCCTTTGAACTTCTGAATAGCATTTGGCAACGGAGAGGGAGCGTTCCATGAAATGCTGTGATTTGTTTAATGGTCTAGTGTATGATCTAGCTCGGTGCATGTTCCATGTGCACTTGAAAATAATGCATATTCTGCAGTAATTTTGTGTAGATTTATGTAAGCAAATAATGTCGTTAGTTTATTCTATTGTTCAAATCTTTTCTAAATTTTTATTATTTTTCTAATTGCAGTATCAATTATCGAGAGATACAATTTTTAAAATTGTAGTGTCAATTATAGTATTGAGTTTTTTTCTAATTGTAATATTGATTACTTTTCTAACTATAGTACTGATAAATTATTCTATTAATATAATGCTAATATTGATGTTCTATTATATTAATGTTAAATTCTTCAACTATAACTGTGGATTTGTCTTTCTCCCTTTAGTTCTGCCAAATTTTGTCATGAATTTAGAAGCTCTGTTATTAGGTATCTATATGCTTATGAGTGTTATTTCTTTTTGATGAATTGACACACTTCTTTTTTTAATTGATTTTTTTATGTAGTGTTCCATCATTCATTGTTTGCGTATACCTTGACACTCTTCTCCTTATGAAATGTTCCTATATATCTCTAGTAATACTCCTTGCCTTAGAGTTTACATTGGTAGTGAAATAACTACATCAGCTTTCTTTTAATTAGCATTTGCATGATACATCTCTTGCCATCCTTCAATTTTAACCAATATATATCTTTATATATTTAAAATGTCTTTTGTAAATGGCTTATAATTGTTCTGTGCTTTTTAAATTTTTTTCTTTAATTTTTTTATTGTTAT